TGTTTTTCCTCTTTGAATCGCTGCGACAATGTTTAGATTAAGTACAACAGTGTACTACTCAATTTTCACTGGTAAATGTATCTCAGTGTTCTTCACTAACCATCCCCACCCCCTAGTACTCTGCTTTGCCCAAGAAAAAGAAGGAAAGTTAGAAGTAAATTTTGTTTCCTAATGATAATGGGAGCTAAAATTTATGGAGCTTTTACTCTTGATCAGACACTGTTATAAATGCTTGGAAACTGGGACTGGCTGCATAACTTTCCAAGGTTATTTCTCTTGTAAGGTTCAGTGAGCAGCCTTCCACAGTGACTCGGAGGTTCCTTCCGCCTTGGGAGCCGCCTGGCTCTCAGTCTGCAGTCTCTGTTCAAGGAGCCCAGAAGGGAAGGGGGAGAGGCACCCATGGACATGTCTGGGTCAGGCCTGGATGTCGGGCATATCCCTCGCATATGTTCCTTTGGACAGAACTCCATCACGTGGCCCATCTAACTGAGACTCAGAGACTTGGGTAATCAGTTTCTTGGACAATTAGCCAGTTTGCCAAACTCATGTGATTCCCCTTTTTTATGGGGGTTCAAGTAAAGGTGTTGAAGAGATAAGTGCACTCAGGCCATCTGGAGTTATTCTTGAACACGTTGTCTTCACATCCTTAATTCCGTAACTCTAATTGTGAACGTTAAAGCTTCCTCTAGATTTCATTACTGTGTAGCTAATAGGAAAGAAAGGGCATAATTTATGGAGAGAGGGAAGCTTCCTCAAAGGTCATCAAACTAGTGTCTGCCCTCCCACCCCTTTTCTTTTTTTCAATCCTCACCGAATGATATGCTTTTATTGATTTCTAGAGAGAGAGCAAAGGTCAATCAGTTGCCTCCCCCATGCGCCCTGAATGGGGATCAAACCTACAACCTACGTATGTGCCCTGACCAGGAATCGAACCCACAACCTTTTTTGATGTACAGGATGATAATCCAACCAACTAAGCCACGCGGCCAGGACCCACCCTTTTTCTTAAAGTCTGGTCTTACTAAGAAATAGTGTGCTGAGCAGCCCTAAACACTTTTGTACACTACCATCACATTCTATTCTCCAGGAAAGGATTTCAGAGAATATTCTCTAAAGTGAGGATCTAAATTCCCACAGGAAGGGAAAATCAAGATTATATTTTTCATGTTTATGTTAAAACTTGGAAAATGGATGGAGGTGATACAAAACCCAGAAGCCTCTGCTGACTCCTCATCGGTGTCTGTCTCTCTCTCCCTTGTCGGATGCTGTGGCCGCTGCCTTCTCGTCGCCCTTCACATGTATCTTTTCCTCCATCTTCAGGAAGTCGGACAGAACTCCAAGTTCAGTTCTTGCGACCTGATTTACAGTGCAGGCTGGTTGTTTACATAGAGATGGTGTCTGGGAGGAAGACGGAAACTAGGGAGACAAATCAGAACAAATACATTTGTGATTAACTCATGGAGGAAAGGTTTGAGACCCTGAGACCGATTGCCAATGAGTGCATGAAAAACGATGTCCAGAGAGACCAACTGAAGGGTGAAGAACCTCTTTTGCTTGTTTTCCTAACTTCAAATTCAAAACACTTGCTAGGCTGTCTGTGTCAGTGTTCACTGCTTTCTATCGTTGTGCTGCTGTTTATCCTAGACCCTAAATTCCTTCAAAGTAGAGACTATGTGAATCGTGGCTGTAGTGAACCATATGTCCTGGAATGCCCGAGACCTGGGTGTGGTTCAAGAAATACTTTGCTGAATGAAGGAGCGGACATGCCGCACCCTTCAATAAATATTTAACCCCTTTGTCAAACACTGAACTAGGTGCAAATCCTTCATCTCAGACACTGTCTTTTTAGGCAACAATTTTTCTCATTTGTTCATTAGCTGACATTTGCTGTGTGCCTGGGGGGAGTCCCAGGGAGAGCGACGGGGAACTGACATGGTCACTGCAGCAGAAACAAGCCATCTTTCATTTCCTTCCTCTGGAAGCGAACCATCCAGTACCCGGGATTCAGACCACATGGGACTCGGTGATATGAGTTCTGCTTCGAGAGGGGAGTGAAACGGGTTATTACATAAACTAGCTCTAGCACAGGAAAATCTTCACAAGTATTGATAGCTTCCGTCAAGAAGGTACAAGCCTGGCAGGGTGATCTTTAGCTTCAGGTGGAGCCTAATTCATCTCGGAGGAATTGTGGAAGCTGAGAGCTTTGGAGTGAAACAGTTTTGAATCGTGGCTCTGCCACTTGGCCGACTTCATGGCCTTGGTTTCTCTGTCTGTAAATTGATGAAAATACTACCTACCTAGTAAAACTAAAGTTAGAAACATGATCAGAGGCTCCCATTCATGGAAGTTGTGCTTCGTGTCTCCAGGTTTAATGGTTATTGTTCAGCCGACGGTATGTTCTGAGTAGAAATCGGTTGCAGGGAGAACAAAGCCCAGAGAGGACCTGAGGTGGCTGCTGCGTAGGTGGAAGCCACACACCTCCCCACACTAAACTGCGGTCACAGCTAAATAAAACGATCGCCTGGGTGAGCAAGTGAAGGACGCTGAAGGGGAGATTGTATCCAAGGATTTAAGGAGACGTGGCCCAGGGACTGGGAGGGGCTGAGAAGCTGGAGGGATATCTCGGCTGCAAGGGTCCCTCCTTAGGAGTGTGGGGTGTCAACCCCAGAACTCCCAAACCAGAGCCCCAGGGCCGGGAGGAGGAGCCTGCAGTGTGGCAGTGAGTCAGTGGGACTCTGTGCCCTGGAGAGAGGAGGAGCCCCCTAAAGCATCAACCCCGGGGCCGCCTGGAGCTCTGGTAGAGAGAAGGGGACGGCATGGGGCGCCATGAAAACCTGGGAGGTGTGACTCCAGAGGGATCCAGAGGGCCGGCTGCTGAGGTCCTGTCCTGGGTCAGCTCCCACTCCGCCTTCAGGTGCCACATCCCAAAGCCAGCGATCCTACTTGACAGCACCTCCTGGGCCTGCACCAACAGGTCCTCCACATAAGGTGGCACCACCATGCCAAGCTCCACTCTGGTAGAAAGGGCCGTTTGTCTATCAACAGGGTCCTGAGCTGTGCTCTTTTCCTGGAGAAACTATCGGCAGACTCGGTCATTGAACTGTGACCTTGAATAGGGACAACCCCCCCAAAAAATGGGTTCGACAGGCGCCACTCCCCATGGAAACCCCTCTGCTGACCTGCACCACCCCCAGTGGAAGTACTAATTCCCACTCGCCCTGCCTAGCTCGGCTCAGCTCAGGGGAGGAACTTGGCCCTGCTCAGAGGTGGGGCATTCATTAGAGATCATCTCCCCCCGAGGCTGCATGGAGGGGCTCCAGCAGGCATGGCTACAGGGCTGAGGGAGGTGTGCAGCTCGCCCCTTTCCCTGGCCCAGTGGTGCCACCCAGTGGAGCGCTTTCTTCATCTCTTTGCCTAAGTCCCGGTGACCTCAGTGACCTCGTCCTGCTCAGCTGGCTTCTGCAGTGGGGACAGCTGGCTGCATCCAACATGAGCCTGTGGTGCGCTCCTCCTGGGGGAGCTGGCGCTGCAGGCTCTGGCAGAGACTGAGTGGTATGGCTCTGCAAAGGCGGCCACCTTCTCCCCATTGAGTGCCTGATCGTGCTGCCCCAAGTCAGGCACCCAGGAGTCCTATCTTCCCAGCCCAGCTGCCCCGCCCTACTGAGCTTGAACCATGTGTAAGGGTCAGTGGCCCTGGCCAGTGTGGCCTGCTCTGTAATCTTTCTGCATTAGACTCTGGGAAATCCAGGCAACCTCAGGGGGAGGGGCTGATAGGAGGTTGTCGACCTTAGGAGCCTTAGGCTTTTCATCTGCTCCAGCTCAGAGCTTTAGGAAGCCAATCCTGGAACACAGTCTGGCCTCCCACACACACCCCAAGCCCAGTAGACACAGCCACTAAGAGCGAATAGTGTGGTGGCTCCAGATGGGTAGCCCAAGGCTGGTTACACACAACATCTGACATTGACCTGCACTGGAGTCCTGGCCAACACAACCAGTGGTGGGCTTCCAACCACACCAGAGCTCAACCCAACTAGCCAAACAAATGGCACAGGCAAAAGGGGGGCCCGGAAGCCACGAGACCCTGCTGGAACTACTCTGTCTCAGGGGGCAGCTCTCGAACAGCAGCTCACACATGGTGAGTGAGTTCTGTCCAAATAATCAGGTCACCTGAAGGTTAACTACCCACCAAGCGACCAACAGCATTTGGCACATGACCCACACAGGAATTACTTCTGGAGCACCTAGCTCAAGGGTTTAGAAGATTGCACCACCGAGACCCGCAAGGCACCTACATCAGAAGCCCTCGTCACAAGCTTGGGAGTCAGCACATGTACCTAACACACACACATGAACACAGAAAGGTAACAAAATGGGGAGACAAAGAAATATTCCTCGAATGAAAGGGCAAGAGAATTCCCAGAAAAAGAATTAAATTGAAGCAACAAAACACCAGATGCAGAGCTTAAAGCAATGTTATAAGGATGCTCAGGGAACTGGGGGAACAGTCTCAGTGAGAAGTTAAACAAAGAGACATTTACTAAAAAAGACACAGAAGCTTTGTAAAAGAACCAGTCAAAGCGAACGGTGTCATATTTGAAATGAAGAATATGCTGGAAGGAAGCCCAGCAGGTTAGAGGAGGCAGAGGTTTGATCAACAATGGAGAGGGCAGTCGAGCAGGGTGGCTGGCCCTGGCCCAGTGTGGCGGCCAGGAAGCCGGAGGGTATGGACTGCAAACTCCTGAACATGTAATATCACTTACATATTTGATCAATTATATTTTCTTTTTTTTTTGCACTTGTAAAAGCAGATAAAATATTTAATATGTAATTTACAATGTATTTTACCAGCTCAGCATACAGGATGTATATAGATTATATCAAAGTAGTAGACAGTTATAGGGGCCTGTGCAAACCCTGCAAAAATAGTACTTCGGGTATTTGCTAATTAAAAAACAAAAACAGTTTACTGTTTGGAAGTGATACAGTTCAAACTACCAACAACATATATAAGTTATTAAATAAAGATTTGATTTAAAAGAATATAAATGAAGCCTTTAAGTAGGTCTTTTCTACATGCATATTATTCCTTATTAAAGAAAAAAATATGTAAAAAGGCCATTGGTAATTGCTTTGTTAACATTTGTAGAAAATGCCAATTCTCTGGTCACAAACTCCACTAAGTTTAGCACTTAAGGTCTCTGCAGTGTTATAAACGTAATTTAAAATACTGTTAATTCTATAATTCCATTGGTAAAATAATGTGACTTGGAATATGGCAGTCTTCATGTTGAGGGCAATGATCCACAGTTTGTTTTAATTTCTGAGGTGTGAACAGTTATCCAGAACAGCACCCTCCACCACTGCTCTGGACTTGAGGTTCATCATCAATAGTCTGTACACCTCGCCGGGCAGCTCCTGGTTGACTGGAGCCATTGCCTTTTGCCCTCTCACCCACTTGTGCTGTTTCTATCATCCTTTTACAGAGGTCAAGAAAGAGTTCCTCAATTCCTTTGTTCTGTTTGGCTGATGTATGATAATGTTTTGCTCCCACAGATTCTGCATACGATTCTGCTTCTTGAATGGACACATGTCTCTCCTTTTCCAAGTCTACTCACTATGCAGCTTTTCCTGCAAGTTTAAAATTTAATTACCAACTATACATAAACAGATTTCATTTCCCAACATTTTCCGCAATTCTTTGACCCAGTTTTTTACCTTCTGAAAAGAATCTTCATCTGTTATATCATAAACTAAAAAAGCTCCATTTGAATCTCTGTAGTAAACTGGACCCAATGCATGGAATCTCTCTTGACCTGCTGTATCCCATATAGCAAGGTTTACTCTTTTTCCACCAATGTTTAACTTCTTTGTTAAGAATGATGCCTGCAAAGTGGTGATGTGCTTGTCGTTGAACTTGTTCTCGCAGTAGCGCAGCACCAGCGACGTCTTCCCCACGCAG